GAAGATTAATGATTACGCACTTATAATCGAGTTTTCAAGGTCTTTGCCTTCGGAAACAAGACAAATGGGAAGAAAGAAACCGGGGGCCGCACACGCGCATCAGAAGTTATCTAAGCGCGCGGATTACGCGTAAAGGAGACGGATTACGTGGTTTACAGGTAGAAACGACGTTGTTTATACCCCGACAGCCGGTCATTCCATTCACTGCCGCCGCTCCACATAACGTCCCCACGCAAACGTCCTTTTCGTGATTTAATGCGCGTTGCGGCAACGTGGGCAGGTGCAACGAGACAGAGGGGAAAGAGAGCGAGAGAGAGAGAGATGCACGACCGCGCCGCGCGCGTCGAGAAATACCGCGGCGCGGTTTCTCGGCGTCGTCAGTCAACGGAATTCACAATCGCCCGGTGATTTTTCTCTCGTTCGCATGCCTTCGAGCCGCCGTCGCCGCCGCCTCGGCCGACGCGCGCGCGCTCGCGCGTTACTCTTCATTCCCGTTACGGTATTTATACAGGAAGTGCCGTCCATCGCGGAATGCACGCATCACTGGAAAGCTTTGTGGCGTCCCACCTCCCATCCGGCGCGACCGCTCGTACCCGTGCATTCGTAATGGCGAAAGTTATCTCCTCCACAGGTGGATCTCGATCGAGACGATAAAACGAGGCTTCTCGGTTTGAGAGAGGAAGATACGGGAGAGAGGGAATGGTAACTCTTAAAGGGAATTAAACTCTTTGAACGAGTTACGTCGAAGTCGGAATTGAAATGCGTGCCGCGCATCTCGTCGTTAAACACGGTAGTTAAATATTACGAGACCAACATTCTCGTGAGCCATTTCGCAAAATTTTTAAGAGTTTATTTTGCTCGATTTCGTTCGAGCTATTTCAAATCGCAGCGTATGTACCACGTATCCTCGACGTTGTGATAACGCCGCGGCTTGTTGACACAACGTTTGCGAGAAGTTGCGTCAATTTGCAAGAGAGCTGTTATCGTACCTCGCAATTTCGAATTAGAATTAGAAGAGGATTTAGTTCTCCTTTCGCGGGGCGATAAATGACGTTCGTTTATTCATCCAACAATCGCCACCCTTGGCCTTAGCCTTCCAGTCAATTCACCGGCGATATACACTATACACCTCACGGGGCGTCATGCAATTACGTGAGGCGTCAGTGATTACAGAGCTTGGCGTCGTTCAGCCAATAAAACAACGTCACAACGTCGCGCCGCCGCGACCTTTTTAACGTGATGCGTTTACGGCGCGCGGTGGTTCTACTATTACGTTCGGTATGCTAACGCCGGGAGTTTTTAGCTCGACTCCTCTTTGATTACAGGAAAATCACACGTTTCCTGAGTAACGATTCCACAACGTGCGTTTCAACGGTATAAAATCCGTTCCGTGACGTATAACGAAAGCAGCCGGGAATTATTTATGCAGGTTATTACGATATCGCGACGCGTGCGCGATCTGCAATTTCATTATCAGCCCGTTTGATAAGATCGTTTACGAATGATTTGTCGTGCGCCTCTCGATAAATACTGATATAAGCGTTTTTTATTATGTCACGTGTTCAATTTCGGGTTTCGGTGTTATAACAAACGTTTTACGACGCCAAAGAGCCTTCACGAGTCCTTTCTCGCCTTGGCGTTCGCGCAATAAAGCAATCGATTTCAGTCATCTGGTCGCCAGGGGTTCTAAATTCCAGAGGATATATCGCAAAGTAAACATCATCCGGTTTCAGATTAGATTCCGTGTTTCCCCGCGTTTGCCGTTTGATAAAAAAAATTGGACGAAAACAACTAGCGGAGCCTTGATTCGAGTAATCGTCCGATAATGTGGAAATAGTTATTTGTGTAACAAGTGAGGTAAGATGAAAATTCCCGGGTGCGGAGTTTACGCACGAGCCGAAGGCGAGTGCGGTAACCGCACCCGGGAATTTTCATCTTTACACACGGCTTACACTCCCTATTTTATGTTGCAAGTGCCTGGAAAGTGGTCTATCACGCACGCGTAGCGTGCGTAATGGGGCACTTTCCATGCACGTGTTGCATAATAATATGTTCAAACAGAATCTCTCCCTGGTGCTTCTTCAGTTTTGAAGCGTTACGTTTCTCGATCGGCGAATCTCAAACGAAGCACCCCGCTAAAGGTGAAACTGAAAAACAAACTTTCTCGTTGCGCGTTTATATTTATCGACAATATCCCTTTACTTCCCGCACGTGGTGTTTTTTACGACGGTATTTCTCCGGAAATTATGCTCCACGTTAGTCTTTATTTCTATGTATTCATATATTTTCATTTTATCGCACCTTCTTTTTATGAACCTTAACTCACGCCATTATTATCCACTTTTATACAGCGCTTTTCGTCTCGAAACACTATGTACGTTTGCCTTAACTCACACTTCGTATTTTTATGTTTTTCGAAGGCTCGACAGAAAAAAAGACCATAATAAATACTTTAAGAAAAACTCTAAACTCCAAACACTAGAACTCTATAATGTCCATTTCTAACAACGCAGGTTAATTTTGATCTTGGTTTAACTTACCTGTCATCTTTTCCTAGTTCTAAAAGTTAGAAAAAGATAGAAAGTAAGTTAAACCGAGATTAGAAGTTAATCTACATTGGTAGAAATGGGCATAAGAAAAGTCTGTCTTCGAGGCTGCCTACGGGAGGGTTCGTCGTTAAAATATTCGGACGTGCCAACGCGAGATCCTCGGGCGAGGCACGCGCGGCGCTTAGACGTGTCGCCCATGGCGGAAGCGAATCTCTCCTCACGCTCGCACACACGTGGGGCTCACACGCTGGATGCTGGCGAGGAATGCGATATTCGCGGGCGGACGGGCAGGGGGGGGGAGGCGAGGGAACGCGCGACGGGTGAGAGTACGGAAAACCTGGAGGTCCGCCAATTTGCGCGACGTCCGAACGACAGTGCAGCGCGCGGGGAGGACTTTGCCCTTTCGGGGTTCCCTGACTTCACGTCCGTTCCGCGTGCCCCATCAGCAGCGAAGCTGCATCGTCGAGTCCCCGAGGAATACAAATCGCATTAATCGCGGGGCGCGCTGGGAAAACACGGAGCGGGAAACGAATTAAGAATCTCGGGGGTGACAATTGGAGGTTTGGCGCGGAATCCCTCGGGATATTCTCGTGGAAAAATTTACGAATAATATCTCCGACAACAAAATTATTCTTCCCGACGCCGCCCCCGTAATCGGGGATCTCTTACGGGCTTCGAGATCCATATTCATATCTCGCATTTAGCGCCGCGTGCGTCTGTATCGTACGCGCAGATCGCGCGCGACGTTATCTGCATGCGTCTGAGAATCGAACAGCCGCAATTAACGTTAAAATGCACGATGCGAGTAGGGGGAGGCCTAAATTTTCTTGCCGCGCCGTGCCGGCGATCAACTCTCGCGATTAACGCGAGCGAAATTGGCGCGGGGAGCGAGACCGCGTATTGTGGAGTCGTAATTAACGAGCGCGATAAATTAGCATGATCGATGATAAATCTCGCGCGGCATTTAGTACATATTTATATGCATTGTACATATTTTTTATATCGCATCTTCCTAGAAGAATACCTGCTGTCGACTTAAAATACACAAATTGAAAATTTTCGGTTTTGAGTTAACTCCATAAAAAGATGCCTGAAATGTTATCTACGTGCTATATATGGTGAAATCCGTCGCACGCAGCAGAAGGGTCGTTATTCTTTTAAACCGGTTATGCTGCGGTCGCCGGACGAATTGTGTCATAAGTGAATTGACAAGTGAATTACACCAGACCTCTGCAAGAAACAATACAAGTTTTACTATTAACTATAACAATGCATCATAATAGCGTTAGTTATCTCACAATTCAAATTGAATAGAATTTGTCTTTCCTCTCTCCCGAAAATTGTGAATTTTTCAATTGTGACAGCATTCTTCTGGAGGCGATAAATTTACACAAAAAATAAAAAATAATAAAAAATAATTTTATATATCGCACCGTGGATTCTCGGAGTATAAATCGCGGACGGATCGCAGATCTAAACGCGGATCTCTTCGATTCGATATTGGGTCCAGGGATTGAACGGCGCGGCGGCGGCGAGGCCGGTCGCGAAACTATTGACCTTCTCCGCGGCGTTTTCCGCATTCCGCGTCGCGTTCTCAGGGTCAGGTGATCGCGGAGCGCCGCGACAAAACTTCCACCACCGAGGAATCCGCTTATACGCGGTCCGCTAAACCGTGCCTTTAAAAGGAGGAAAACGAGGGGTTCCTCGTCGCGCGACTCGACCTGGTGCGCGCGCTTCCGAGACCGCGATCCGTCGCGACGAAATCCAAGCTGCGATATCATCTCGGCATCGAGAACGCATCGCGCAACGTCGACGGTCGAGTAGAAAGGCTGACCGGTAACTGACCCCTAAATCACTGCTCGAGAGTCTCAAGACAGTCGCGACGTTCGAGTCCTTGAAAGCGTCGCGAAAAGGAACGAGACGCGTAGACGCTAGACAACAGAATATAATTACGATAGCGGCTAATTGCCGTTTGTAGAACACGATGTCGTGAGTCGTGAGAATGTCCGACCGTTCCTCTCACGGCCGTGCTCCGAAACGCCGACGGTGGAGCTCGACGTCTCACGCCCGCATCCCGGCGGACGTCGCTCGCCGAAGGGAAGGCTGGAGGATAAAGGGATTATAATTCCTTAAACCGATCACCGCGTAGTTTCCCGGTATTCACGCGCGATTCACGAACGTCTCTCTCTCTCTCTTTCTATCTCTCTCCGATTCACGATCTGTTTTCGCGACTCACGGCACGGTAGCGCGATCGGTGTGGATCTTTCCCCTCTCCCGCCGTCGAATAAAAACAATTTTTTTGCCCGCCAAGGGTGATCGTCGGCGAGAAGGGCCGAGGGACGGGGAACAATCCCAGGCCGAGGGGGAATTTCGCAAATCCGCGCAACTCCGAGCGGCGCGGCGGTGCGCTCGTTCGCTCGGGAACGGAAGACAACATTCTGGGTTACTCACCGAAAGCAATTCCTCGGCACGACGGCGCGACCGGTCGGGGAGGGAAGGGGGGGTCCGTCCGACTTGGCTGGCTCGCTGTGGCTCGCGGGTATCCTTCCGTAGAATCCGGCGATGAGAGAACTTAACCCCGCGGCCGAGGTAACCCCGCGTAATTCCACGTGTACGGGAACGTTTAATGCGGGCACACCGCGGACACTGTTGACACACGCGCGGAGAACACGCGAACGCCGCCGCGACCACCCGCTGGAGACACACGTACGACCGCGCGCGATTCACGAATCGCGAATGGAATTTTGTCACGTCGCGGCGCGTTTTCTCAGCGAACGGTACCGCAGACGCTCATGTTGCTGCACCACGGACGGTGAATTACCATTCCAGCTCTACCCTCTCCGCGCGGGGCCCTCGTAGCACTGGGGCGTGGCTTAGGCGACGGGGAGAGCCGAGCGTTGGCGGCGGTGTACGAGGCGCGCTCATTGGCCGGAGACGCCAGCGTATCACCGCGCGCGTACGCGCCGCCGAAACCGCGGGTGATTTGAATTACTTGTTCGAACTCCGAGATGTTTCGCTAACGCTTTTTCCTTTCAAATTAAATACACTGACCTCAAAACAATGAACAGTCGAAATGGAAACATTGTTTGTGATAATGAACGATGTGAGAACTGATAATACATTTAAGAAATAAATTAAGTTTGATTTTACCGACTGTCACTAATTTATCGGCTAACTGTTCGTAATTATAGATGGTTTTCTTTTATATTTTTGCGAACCGCGAAACTTTGAATGATTGAAAATCGGCAAAGTATCGGGGAAATATAATTAGCAAAGAAATAACACACACTCTCTCTCTCTCTCTTACTAAATTTTCAAAAATTTCTAAATAAGAGTTTCTTGAGAACTGCGAAAATCTTAAACGCAAAGCATTAGAAATATCATAATACAGTTAGATAAGAGGTGATATTATTTAACATCTTGAGAATTGCAATTCCGAAAATTTCTAGGACTTGAGAGATTTGCCAAAATTAAATTCTTGAACAATATATCAAGAAATTATAATAGATAGACATTATTAAATATCTTAACAATTGTGACTTTGAAAAGTTCTGAAATTTTATATTCAAGAACTCGAACTGCGAAAATTCGAACTCTCAGAAGTCGGCGGAGCGTCGAGGGAACGTCAGGTGAAATATAAAATATAATCGCGGAAGAGCTAATATTTAACTGAAATTTAAAAAATCTCTTCATGATAATGCAGATAACACAAATGCCGGTCATTCAGCGAATGTGCGGCACTGCTAACGGTATGTGGCATGTGCCTGCAACGCGGTAACCGTCTTCTTATATCAGTTTAACACATATTTCTCTATGCGTTAATGCGATACGGCGTTTCACGATGGATATACAGGAATTGCATCCAAATAAAGTACGTGCGTAATTTTACAGGTTTTAATTATTTGACAAAATGTAAAAATGGTACGCGTCATCAAAACATAACCTCCCGAACGAGAGTCAAAGTTGCTCCATGCATATAATTGTGCTGACTTGCAACAGTTTTCACAGACAGTACCCTTGCTTTGGGTATAAAAGCTTGTTGTTAACGATTGTACACGATCGTTTCATTGAGAAAATTTTTTTTATATTTACATTGCACATGTCCCAATATTTTCTAATTGTAATGCTTTTTACTTTTAGAGCAAAGCAGAATTGACTCCAGAGGAAGAATGGAGGCAAGTTACAAGTCTATTGTAGTCTTACAACAAAGACCTTTTCTCATATTTTTTTTTTTACTTACAACGTCTACGATTAGCACGTGAGAAGATATAATGGAACTTGTAAATCAATTTTTTTCAGGGAGCAGCACATAAAGATGCACGAACAGCATCGAGGTCACGAATCTATGCACGCAGAAATGCTGCTTATATTGCTGATAACGGTAGCGGTAGCACAGATTGTACTGGTTGAATGGAAGAAGAGGCACTTTAAATCATACCAGGTGGAATAAGATATTTGTCTTCTTTATAACGCAAATATCAGATGAACTATATATTAATACAGTATTTTGTTTTTGCAGCTTGTAACATTAGTAGCCATGTGGATTATTCCATTTGGAATTAGCTTGAAGAACCACTGGTGGAGATTTATATTTTTATGGCTTTTATCTTCGTGTATAACGGGTCTAGTAGTAAGGAAAGCCATTCAGAGACCAATAGAAGGTACCACGCCTAGGTAATGCCGAGTAATTTTTAGTAACGCAGATCGACAATTAATCATAAAATAATGACAGATAATTTATTTCCTTTGCAGATTAGTGTACAAATGGTTTTATTTTATTTATAAGCTCAGCTACGGGCTGGGTATAATCGGATATCTTTTAGTTATATTTACACTCGTTGGTCTAAATATCGTATTGAACGTTAAGCCTGTCGTTTGGATGGATTGGGGCATGTTGTTCATATTTTACGGTCTTTACTTTGGAGTATTAGGAAGGGACGTTGCTGAAATGTGCGCCGACACGATGGCGTCGCACATCGGGGTATGCATATCATATTAGACGTTAAATTATCGCGTTATACATAATTTCATAACGTTTAATATGATTTTTAGTATTATGCCCCAGACAGTATCCCGACCAGGGTTTTGGAGCCAAATGTTTGCGCAGTATGCGGAAATAAACTTCTAGTTTCCGAACGTGAGGAGGGTGTAATCGAAAATACGTACAAGCTTACTTGCGACCACGTTTTCCACGAATTTTGCATTAGAGGCTGGTGCATTGTAGGGAAAAAACAGACTTGCCCTTATTGCAAAGAGAAAGTTGACTTATCGAAAATGATCCGCAATCCGTATCCTTTGTATTCATAACTTAACACGAGAATTTAACTAATGGCGATTTTATGCCGATATATATCTGTTAAATGCCTTAATGAAAAATACAGTTGGACACAGCCGCATGTTTTATACGGCCAATTGCTGGATTGGTTAAGGTGGCTGGTTGCTTGGCAACCGTTGATTTTGTTTCTAGTTCAAGGTATCAATTGGTCTCTGGGCCTTGAGTAAGTAACAATGTTGGTTGAACACGAACTGCTCTCACATGCATCATTATTATTATTGCAACGCTAAAGAAAATGATTAACTTAGTCCTCTGATCAATACTGTGTTTGTATTTTTGTATATGCTGTTATTATTTTTGTTACTCATAAAACAAATATTAGATAGGAAATGCAATGCCAGAAAAATCAATAATCCTACTCGTGTCTAAATGTTAAATAATACCACAGTTCATCATCCTGAACGATATTTATTTGTCTTCGTGAAAGTAGAGTTGAAAGAAATCTCACGATTAACACGATTAAACGTTTCTTTAATCAAAGAAATACAAGACAAAAATTCGTTATATGAAATAAAAGTCTTTTTCATAATGTATTACAAAAATATTAAAGCTCAATAAATGTGTGAACTGGATGTAATGTAAATATATATCTGAAAAAACATACCACATATTAAATAAATCATTGTGTGATTAACATAAGAAACGATCAGTTATGTGGTGAGATTTTTGTATTGTTGCTCTAAAGATTCTTTGTATGCATATTAAAAATGACTTAAATGACTGTTTTAGAAAACAGTTGTTGCGTGAATAATAAAAGACATGAGAAGGATTAAATCATTGTACCATTATCTTTAATATTTAAACTAATTAATCTGTCTCAACAGTTTTAGCAGTTAAATATCAGGTTATATCAACGTATTGAATTTCTATTCATTAATTTGTTATTTATATTTCTTGCAAATGTGTTCTAATAACTTCCTACTAATAACAAATACATTCCAACATTCCTAAGCCCATGGTGGGTGTTGCTTCCAATATTTGCTTTATCAAAAGATATGCAGTTACTAGAAAGTAAAGAATGCATGTATATATTTCGTATATGACTGCTGTTCACAAAATGTTCATATTATAACATAGTTTATGTAAAAAAATATTAGGTTACATTAAATAGTCGACATGAATTGTACATATCTTCTTTAAGTTGTTTCAATGACATTCTCTGATTAATGTTTTGCAATTGTGAGATGCAAATCGGAAGAGTATTGACGAAATAAAAATTATTTGTGATTATTAGAGAAATATTTATCCATCATTTACAAATACCACTTTTCGTTTGATTAGAGAATAATTTCAGCAAATTTTATTGTACAAGCATTCTTCGAAAATTCACTGTTCTACTAATTTGTGTTTTCTATAATAAAACATTTACATGTAATAACATTTTTCTAAACGCCACAAGTTTCGCAGCATTCAAAAAATGGAGATCAGACTATTGTAATAAATATATATAAATCCATTGTTGTAATATAATTGCACTTAACTCTGTTGCTAGTCGCTCTAATCATTGAAAGATGTTTTTAAAATGTAATATTAATTATTATTTATATTTCTTTTTTTTTTTAAGATCGTTTTAAGGGAGAAAAGTATCTGATATATGTTACATTCTCGACAATAAATAATTGTGACTTTTCGTTCTGTTCCTTTTGAACTGGGCAATTGTGAAATCTGTTAATATTGTATATTGGATTACATTCGACTGTACAGTAACAGTATTAAGGGGAATGTAACATGTATCTTTTTCATATTGTTTTTCCTCGGAAATAATGTGTAATACAACCATTTGTAAAGAATAAAGCCACTGTCAAGAACACGTTTTTTGCAATAAAATGATGTATAAAACGATATACTTAGCTGTGATATTCAATTCCTCTATATTGCGTTTTTGTTAGTCCTTGTTTTTGTAGAAGAATAAAATTCGGTCTTTGAATTTTCAAGAAAATAAACCTATAGTATATGACATGTAATAATTTAAATTGAAATAATGTGAAACGCGTATCTCTACTTATCTTAAATCAATAACCATTGTTAACTCTCCCACGGCTAGAATTAATTTAAAAAAAGTAGAAGAACCAGCGCAATCCTGATAATTAATTGTAATAAATTTAAGATATTTTGAGATTGATTTCTAGATAAGACGAAAAGACATTTTCTCGCAATTGAAGTACTAAAGATTGACGAAAGTAATATAAATATTAAAAAGAGGCCGGGCTCTTTAATAATGGCAGAGTTAACGTGTATCTTTGTTTCTCGTAAGCGACGTAGCAATTTTCCCTGAGCACCAATTAATATAGTTTATAGCTTACACGTAAGAGTTATGAGTGAATCTGCGATTATCTTTTTCTTCTCATAATTTTTACAGAGTAACAGATACGAAGAAGGATCAGCATGAAAAAACGCTCGGTGTAACGGATTAACGACTACCGCACGCTGTATTGTTATATAGTTTCTCTGCTAGCACCGACAGATAAGTTCCTATTTACACACTCGAAGTCTCTCACTAATTGTAAGAGGTAGCAGATCTGAGGGAGGATGTGATCTCGTTGGACGCGCATAGAGTTCAAGATAGCTGTGTATATATGTGTGCGTGTATGTGTATGGGCACAGTAAGAAAGAGAGAGAGAAAGAGAGAGATAATGATAACAACTTGTCAGTGATGTTACTAAAAGACTTTAATTAACTTTCTCGTTATTATCGATAGAAAAACAACTTTCATCACATCACGTATCCATAGGTACTTGTCAGACCGTGTCGGACCCGTCGCGAGAGTATCATATATATATAATTCGTATTTATATTTATATACATATATATTGTTTTATTTGTTTATAAACCTAATCTAAGAGTCATTCGCGAACATTTTTGTGGGTGGTGACGCGGCGGGAGAACGAAGTGGGGGATGATGTAACAGAGGCCAGGGGGGGTGAGAACACATTTAACGATGAATACCCTTCAACGGATCCGATGAACAAAGAGGTGTTAACGTTAACTCGAGACGTAGTCTTTGGCTTTGTTTGGATGGTTCAGACGCCACGATACGACGGGATCGTTGGGATGGGTCCAGGGGCAGACATTCACAAACACGGGGAAATTTTATAGATATATTTATTGAGTACTTAGCGTGTAAGAGTATAGAATATATGTTACCTTATTGTTAAATATCATTACATGGTAAATATATTTATATATACGTATACATACATATGTGTGCGTACATATACATGTATGCGTATGTATATCTCACGATGTAATCTTTAAAATAAACCTTGCGCGCGCGCGCGGGCACGCACGCGCGTGTTTTACGTGTGTGTGTGTGTGTTCAAGAGTATTTACATAATGATCGCAATTAATATGTACAAGTTCACGAAAAAAAAAAACGGAAAAATAAAGTACAGACGAACGGGCGAGCGTGGTGTATCGGCCGTGTCGGTGATCGCCGGTTCGCCGTTCGAGTTTCTCGCGAGGATTCCGGGTGCCGAGTACCCGAGCGGCGTTCACCGTCACGCCAATGCCAAGAATAGATGCCAGTAAAATTTTTCACTTCCTCCGTTTCCTCTCTTCTGCGTATAAATTGACCGTCGTCCTTATATGAAAGTATAAAGGTCGCTACGGTGAGATGATTCCTTCTTTTCTTTTTGCGGGCACGGGTGTACGAAACTACCATCGCTACGGATAATTGTAGGTACCCTAATTAACAACATCAATGTCGCGTACGATTGTGGCTTTTCCTCTTTTTACGTAGCAGCTCTCTTCTTCATCTCGCCGCTCGCGAGCGACGACGGAGCTTCCGCGCGACGCTTCGGGTACGGTAAGGTGATTAATATCCGTTTCTACAAATGTAGATCAACTTTGATCTCGATTTAACTTACTCTCTATCTTTTTCTAATTTATTGGTTAAAAAAAAGATAGAAAATAAGTTAAATCGAGATTAAAGTTAATCTGCATTCGTAGAAATAAACATATAAGTCGATCATCACGAGGTACGTTAAAAGCCTAGGATAATTCTCGCAACTGGAGCTCTCTGTTTGGACCTTTCGGTGATTCTTGGATACGGCGACACGCGTCGAGTCACGTGCGTGAAAAATGATTGCAACGTGCACGACACGCGACCTAGATGAGGCTCGTTGCGATGATTCTGCAGTCCTTCAAATGCGTTTACCGTATCCGAAGTATCGCGAGGACTCCGTGCTCGCGGGGCCACGAGAAGCGCTCCATCGTCAACGGAACGGAACGATATATCATTCTTTATCGGTCGTATTATATATGTACAAAACGAAATATCACGCGACCGCCGCAAATTTCTCGGTGGCGTATAGAAAGAAGCGCGACGAGCACGTTCGACGAGCGGTATCTCTCGCGGCTCGCCTGTATACATTATATATATATTTATATATATGTATATAAAAAAAAAGCGCACGATTTCCTTCATTTCCCCTCGCAATAACTATCGTTATAACGCAACTCGCATATTTATATATTTATATATATATATATATTAATTTATATATATCTCTTTCTCTCATGCGCTCTCTTTTAGCTTCTCACGCATCCTTCCTCACGCTCTCCTCACTTTTTGACATATTTATCGTCGTCCTTCGTTCTACCGCCGGACTTTCGGCGGCGTCCAAAGACATACACGATAGTTACGAAGTATTGCTTTTCTTTTCCTTAGTCGCGGTGTCGATCGAGCTTCGCCGACCGCGATCCGGCGTAACAATAATAAATTTTGCACCCTCCTGCGACGAGCCGCGCCGGGAATCCCGCGCTCTCCCCCGGTTTTTTTTTTATGTTCCCTCGATCGCCTTCGATTCCGCAATGTCGCTCACGAGGTATTTGGGATTCGCATTCGGGTATGAACATGTATCATCGGGTTTCTCGAGAATCTCCCGGCGTAAATTCGGAGATTTTCTCGGATCCGTTTGAAAACGTTGGGAATCGAAGAAGCAAAATCGCGCTTTTAGCAAACACTGTTAAATTCATAACCAATTGTACTCAATTTGAGTCATTTTCAATCATTCCTATAAAATCGCCACTGCTCCTACTCAATATGTCGTTAATTCAACTAAATTAATCTTAATTTAACTGAACTAATGGAGTTAAAATAATACCGTTTTGCGTTAGAATAATAAATTTCGACACACATGGTAGTTAAAAATAACAAAATGTTATTTAACAAGGTATATTAAATTTCATCCTTTAATATTTAACAGTGAACGCGAGCGTGTGGTTTCGTCGAGGTCTACGCTCTCGCAAAACTATATTTTACGTCAGAATTACTAAACAAGCTGAATGCTCCAATTTTTCTCTTTAGAATCCACGTCTTTCTTATAAATTACAGTAATAAATTACAATAATAACGTGTCCGATTGTTCTATTATAAAAAAGTGTATTCGGTCGGACAAATCGTTGCCGGGACACGTCCGCTTTGTGGGGTTCATGAACAAAAGCGCCGAGGGAAAAAAAACCGATGGGGGACCGGAACTCATCCATGCGGCTCCTACGCTCGAAGGAAATATGCGCTAAGCGTAAAGTTAACTCGAGTACAGGACTTCTTCTTTTCCTAAACATATCGTATCGTTTTCTGTTTCTTTTTCTCTCTCCCGTTTTTTACGTATCGTTTTTTTTTTTGCAAGTAGACGAGCACACATAGAAAACCGCTTGCAACGACCGCCCGGCCGCCACGCCGGGAAGCCGCTGCCGCATGCTGAGCTTCTCTACGAACGACAATGCGCGCGTGTCGGATAACGGTGTGTCAATGGGCAACTCAGTAACAAAGCGCTACGGGATAGCGTCCCCTCGAGCTCGCCGGAGCCGAGGAGATTGTCAGATATCGAAGGGACCCGCATCATCCAAGGTCACGCCCGAGAACATTGTTGAAGAGGCGATCTCATTTAATATTACTTTAAAGATATCCGCTTTAAATCGACAATGACCGTAAAAGAATTTTGAGACTTTTCAGTTTTCCATGATAAAAATCAAATTGTTTCCTCTCAAGTTAACATACATCCTGGAAATGATATTAACGAGTAAAAACGCATTCTCATACAATGTTCTCCGTTGCTGAATTGGATGAAGTTGAACCCTTTAGTTACCGAGGGGATCGGTAAAAACTATGCTCTCCAACGCCGTATTTTTATAATCTTGAGCAAATAATTTTACATCTCATGAATATTAGTTCAACGTACACGTCCCGGAGCGACAATGAAAATCACTTGCTCGAGATTACACTAATGTCGAGGAAAATCGCTCCGAAGCAATTTAACTACGGTTTCGAGGAGTTAAGGTAGGCGAGCCTGTGTATTTGAAGCCGGGTCTCCCGAGGCTTTGATGGCTGAGCAATTTTCCGCGTCAAAGCTTACTGAATTCTCGCCCTTACTCTATTTATACGGAGGAAAATAAAATTTTGCCTCTGCGCCGACGGTTTGACATATGGAATGAATCACAGATCGATATGCCTCGTCCAGCCTCGGGCTCCCCTTCGAAGAAGCCGAAATTATTCTATCAAATTCAAGACGTTTAGACAGAACGTGTCGCAAAATAACAAAAATCCCAGCGGCGTGTCCGTTAGTCGTCTTTACAATATAAAACATACAATGGTTCCTATCAATTTATCTATTTCTTTATAAAGGCGATGCGTGCGAGAGTGATATGGACAAGCCAGAATTTTCGTAACTTTGATCTGTGGAAAAAATGACGCAGGATTAAAAATGTGTATGGTCGTGTGTGAAAATTAAGTGTTGCAAATCAATATGAGGCCCCGTCGCTAAAATCCTTTGTGATTTCGTGGTAGAAAAATCTTTCATGATGCGAGGACGTGAAGACTACTTTCGCGGAACAGTGGCGTGTTGTCGGCTATACACAACAGAGATATGTACAGCGATGTTACTTGTAAGGTTCACTAGCACACTCCCTTAACCGTTCGCTAAACCCCACGTTAACTCGTCAACTAATACGTACGTTTGTAGTTATGATTATGTATTTTTATTTTTTTTTCTCCTTTTAATATATATCGTCTACGCGGAACACAACGTGGTGGAGCTGCGTTGGCTCGCACGTTGGCTCACCGTGTACTCCTATATATTTATATATATATATATATTATGCGTTATATTTCGTTTTTTTTTTTTGCATTCTTTACTTTCTATTAGTCGGTTACTTCATTCGACCCGAACCACAGACTTCTACACTTTTTACTTTTTTTTTTCCTTATTTACCCAATATTGATAAACACCGACGAGTTCAGCTATATCAGTTATAGAGAGGAGGGGCTAAGGTTGTGCCCTGTAAAAGATAGGTGAATTAAGATGAATCGAAAGAAATTTATTTCGGCGAAATATTTGATCTTCGAAGCCAGGGAGATTTGTCTTAAAATTGCGTTATAAGAGGTCGGACTCGTTAACAACTTAACTGAAAAGAGAAAAAGCACTGATGTGGAATTTAATCCCGTAAGGGAAAATTAATAAGGAAAAATTTCACGTTTCAAACGTTTCGTGAAAGTTTCTAATTTTTCCTTCCCGATGAGAATTGAATGGACACGTATTAAGGTATATAGAAAAAGAATTCAATCATCGCAAAACCAATCCCCTATATTTTGAGGATTAGGAATTTATAACTTGACGAAACGAATCTCTCTGCATACATCGATTCTTGTTAATCCAACTATTTTTTTCCGGGGATGCTCTCTTCGGCGGAGCGCGGGGGGTGAGGTTCTTTTTTCCACAGGGCGATCCCACATACACACGGTTACATAGGACTTCTTCGACGACACAATTCAAAAAATAATTTCTCATTTTTAGTAGAAAGATAGGCGGGGCATTTTTCCGTATAATGGTAATATATTATCGTTTTTTTTCCCATTATTATTATTACTCTATTTATTATTCTTATTACTTATCGTTATCGTATATTATTATTATTTTTCATTATATTATTATTTCTTCTGGACATTATTACTTCGACGCATCCCGTTACGACTGTCGCTCGTCTCGTCACGTCGCGTCACGTCATTTTTTATTACGTGACGATATCACGTCGCAATAGTTCTTACACGTTTACGTGATACGATACTATTTACACGTGTCTACGTTGTCTACGACAAATCGGTAGATTCGCTCAGGCAGTCACGATCAAAATTCATCAAGTTTGAAATCTATCTATCAAATTCAAATCAGATAATTGGGGCAGTGCAACAATTCTGAAACGATAAAAGTGATCATGTCACTTTTGATCATTTTCCGATATCAATTTGTTTTAATACCACTTTTCAAGAACTTTTGCATTGACTATTGCTTTTATTATTGGGAAATCAGTGTATCACTTTACTTGCTTAAAAGCTTGTAAAAACTCCATGAACTCTTACTTTAAATATTAAAGAAATTGTATTTTTAAAATAAATTCCGAATTTTTTATAGATCTTAGGACCTTGATAGATTTCGATGCTAGATGTCACATTTATACTTGGCTCATTCAATTACACGTTCGCACGTGCCAGCAAAATCAATGAGATAACGTTGCCGATCATGCTATGCATTCGGCCGATTTGAAGCGATAGTGTGTTTCTTGTGTACTTGTGTATCAATCGTGCGTAGGCCTGGGTCGAGATTTAAACGCGAACCGTCCGTTTCGCGCGAACGTCGCGTTTTCTCCTGACAGAATCTCTCGCGTTATTTATTAATCTTTTTTTATCGAAAAGATCGCGACGCGTCCGATATAACTTCCGCGACTTTACCCCATTTCTTGCGTTCGAGCATATCACGGGGGCACAAGTTCCTATATCTTTACATGTTTGTACGTATGTGTGTGTGTGTATGTGTGTGTGTATGTGTGTGTGTCATGTTTTCTTCTTTCTATACATATAAAAAAGCGGTATCGACAGTTCCACTTGAGTTTACGATCGTTTTCGCGCGTTACATTACGATATTTTATCTACATTTACCATTAAGAGTTCGAGTAGCTATATTTACAATTGCTTGTCTCGCATCTAGTACACCAATTTGCGCCTTGTTAAAAATATCTGCTGTATATCTGCTCTCCTTTGTCTCTTTCTCTTTCTCTCTCTCTCAATCTCTCTCTCTCTCTTTCTCTCTTTCGTTCCCTTTCAATCTCTCTCTTTCTCTCTCTTTCTCTCGCTTTTCCTACGGCGTCTCGCGACGCGATCTACGGCGACGTCCACGGACAGTTTGTTTAGATGTATCCACCCCCGCGGAGCGGATACGTCCCAATCAGAGATGCGAGGTGAGAGCATCCCGAACTGAGTGCCAGATAACTGGACGTTCGGAGAACATCGGCGTATCTTTTTGTATTGAAAATTATCCTCTCGCCCCGCATCTTCCGACTTCAACCCGACGATACCTCGAGATACCTTCGCTTCCGCGTGCGTGCTTACGCGTGTCTTGTAGACCCTATTGAATGACATCGGCATGCTGTATTCGACCGACGATCCGAAAAAGTCCAAGACACACTCCATACTCCCCACCCACCCTCCTTTTCGCGAAAACACTATCGGATTTTCGTCGCGGACGGCACTTTGAAAGTTCACACGCACGCATCTCTTCGTCCCTATAATACCTCGATTTTCGCCACCTCTCCTTCTCTCCCTCCCTCTTCCTCGTGTCCCTCTGTCTTCTCTATAAACTAATCACCGTGTGTAACAAGCTTTATATTCTTCATTTCGTTAATAATGCGACTAGCTTAATTTTGACACTTCGCGATCCGTCACCCACACCCGCCGTCTTCGCACGCACGATTGATCGATCGATCTAGGAATCTAGGATAGATCGCGATCGCGTGGACGCGCTTATGGCACATCGACGGGGGTAGGTTTGCATCCGGACACGGGACGCATCCGTGGTCGCTCGTGGTAGATCATCGCGTCTCGACGACGAGCGCGGGGAGAAGAGGCCGAGAGAAGGATCGAGGAGAGAAAAGTGCGACATCGCCGGCCGCTCGCGCTAAATTGCAATTTTACGACACGCGGCGGCAGGATTTTCCATTAACGCGTTGCTCTCTTTCTCTCCCGTTTCGTAGTACTCGGATTCACGCGCGAATCAAGTCCCAAGTTATACTCCAAACTCGCGTCGTAGTGTCCTCGAATCACGAGTCGTGCCTGTGAGTCCTGTTGCGCCTGTTGCCGCTCTTCCGCCTCTTCCTCTTGGTGTCGCGGGTAAACGCGACGTTACCGGGATCGTCGGCGAGCTGGGGATACCTGTGCACGCTGTGGATGTCGACGCCCTCATAGCCGTCGACCGTGCCGCGGCTGATCAATTCATCCTTCTCCTCCTTCGACCAGTCGCCCCTACCCTGGAAACCGGCTATCACCAACTGCTTCTCGATCTCCCAGGCTCTCTCGACCGCTCGTTTGTGCGCGTGTTTCAGAATACGGTGTCGTTCCTGCTCGGGATCGGCCCCGTACTTGATCACCACGGCCGCGTCCGGATTGTGAAGCCTCAGCTCCTTCCACGTGCCCGCACCGTGCTCCGTCGTCTCGTGCGTGGACACATTGAACATGCTCCCGAGTCGATGGAGCTCCTCCATGTCGTCGCGGATCTTCAGCGCGTTGTCCTTGACGAAGTAGAAGACGTCCTGGTCGTGCACGCTGAAGTGTAACGGCAGGAAGTACGAGTTGTTGAATACTGACGTCACCACGTCCTGCACCACGCTGTTCACACCGTCCACCACGCTCACCAGAGCTCGGCCGCCGACGCGCGATACCAGGATACCCTCGCCGAAGACCGCTCGACGATGTGCCACTCGCGGTAGGAGGTTCCTCGTTTTCGGTTCCAACTTCAACAAAGGTTTAGGAACGAAACCGAGGTCAGAGAACTTCTCTTGCACGCGATTCACGATGCACTGCAGGCCGGACATCACGCCGAAGTCCGGAGTCAGTTGCGGGGATGTGACGGTCGCGCTCGGCTGATAAACCATTTGCTTCGTGTACTCGGAACCGAGCATCATCGAGATGTCGTAGCCGTAGAGCTTTAGCCAGCTTCCCAAATCTGTCATGTATTCGACATTCTGCTTAAAGTTGACCGGATCGTTATTGCGGAAGCGATAGATGAAAATGTCGGTCGGTGTGGTAAGTTCATTGGCCATCTGTTCCCAAGCTGGCGTCATCCATTGTCCGACAGTCGGATCGTAAAGTCTCTTGTTCAGGTAGATCAACTTGGTGTTGGGATCGAAGAGACCTCCGTGGAAATCGATGGGCAGATAGAAGTCCGGATTGGTGTCCTTAATAATCTTGCCGAAAGGAGTGCGCCGCATTTCTTTGATGAGATTGCCGTTAGTGTCGAAGAGAGCGAGAGGCGAGCCATTTTGGTCCGTCGCGACGTAGAAGCGTTGCTCGGACGTCTCCACGGTCATCAAGAAATCGCGCGAGTCATAGAGGAATCGGAACGTCTTGGACGATTTCGGGAAGTGCACGTGCGTTATCAGATCCGGAGTCTTTGGATTTGCGTAGAAGAATTGAGTGATGTTCTCTCGGTCGTCGTTCATGGACACCAGTCGGCCACGGTCATCGTAGAAGTACCAGATCTGGAATTTCTTGTGCTCCGACGCATGAATCAGCTGGCCACGCGAGTTGTATCTGAAGAAAAGAAAGAATATCGCATATCATTTATTAAAAATTTTTCAATCGGTATTCCACAAAATAGCTTTCAGCAAAATTTACTCTTATTTTATAAGTGTATTTTAGAAATAGAAAAAGAACAAATATTATCTTAATATAATCTTAATTTTATATCCTTAAATTAATTGAACAAAAATAGGAAATACATACCTATACTTGTGCTCCCCGCGAATCACAACGAAACCGCGTCCATCGTATGAATTGAACTCAACGTCACCGTACTGGACCACTCGATCGCCACTATCGTAGCCCAAGGCGATTTTTTCATTATGTTCAGTCACGCCGATCACATTACCGTTCTCGTCGTATGCGTACTGCCAATTGTTCTCCGTGTCCGCTACTTCCAGCACATGACCATCTGCGTTGTACGTGATCTTTTCCATTCTGGACCACTCTTTCTTCTCCATCGACTCCTTTCCAATCGTGAGCTTCCTCATCTTGATGCGATTGCGATTATCGTATTCGAGCTCCATACGGAATACGTCGAACGATCGGATGTTCATCAGCACGGTCTTGACGCGTCCGTGCTCGTCATAGTCCGTAACCGTGAAGAACTGTTTGCTGCTGTCCTGCATAACCGATCTGTTGAAGAGATTTCTGTATATCCTGAGATCGCCGACGCCCTCCAGTACCCCGAGATTCTGGTTGTACTTGAGACGAAGTTGAGGTAGCTGTTTGCCGTTGATGTCGACCTCGATGCCGGATATTCGCGCGTTACCGTCATACTGATAACGGTAATGAGCGTTATCCATGCCGCTCTTGCTGCCAAACTTGATCTTCTCGTCCTTCACGATGCCGGCGTGATATTTGTATTCGATGCGCATCTCGAAGTTTGGCTCGTTGATGTCGATGCTGCGCACCAGACTGGTTGTTTCTTGATAGGTGTAATGTATCGAGGAGAGACCTAAGAAAAGAGATTCGCGTTATTTATATTAACAGATTGTGTCTCTAACGTCTTTGTTTAACAAATTAAGCGTAAATAAAAAATATTTATCTTTTAACCACACTAGTAAAATTTAATCGAAAAATAAGGATGAAATAGGTATTATTGTGACAAAATTATATTAGAAAGAGCCACTTACCGGCAAGTGTCGTTTCAAGTTTTCCAGCGTGATCGTAGACATAAGCTACCTTTCCGCTTTGATGGGGATATACCTTGGCGAGAATCTGACCGTCGTCGTTATAAAGGATCTCATATGGATGTCTGTTCATCGGCGAATAGTACTGATACTTGTAAAATCCGAGAGAAGTTTGAAGAGAGAACGTATGGATATGTCCTCTTGGTGTGGTCAACGACTGTAATGCTCCTGCTTCGTCATATTGAAGAAGATAATCGCTTCCACGCGGTGTGGTAACCTTCAACGGTAGGATGCTGAACATATCTTTGAAAGCGTACACCATCGACGTGCCGTCGCTGTACTTGATTTCGAATAACCGGCCAGATCTGTCGAAGCCGTAGGTTTCGCTAATGTCACCCCACGTCCAGCTTGTCAATCTGCTAAATCGATCGTATTCCAATTCAACGCCGGCAAAGATACCGTTTCTCGGTCCCCACTTGACCGGTCTAGCCGTTCTGTCGTACGTGACATTCAACAGTTCCATCCGATCGTCCATGAACACGGCCACGGTGTTCGTCTCTCTATCGTATTCGAGAGACAACAGGATTTCACCGTTGACACGAAGCTTCCTGCCGACCTGGGCGATCGCCTTCGTGTTGCCACGATTCTTGTTCCCTTGGACCTTCCGGAGGAAGTATCGCCATTCGAAGCGATTAGCCAAATCCCCGGCAATCTCCGTTCTCTGTTTAGCTGGCACGGGATAGCTCTCACCCAGCAAAGGCTCGAGCTCTGCTAGAATCGAGTATGGCATCGAATCGGTGCTAACCGTGTGAGCCCATGGTGTCACTCTTCCGACTGAACCATCTGCGAGAACTGTCGTTCTCTGTTCGGCCTCTCCGATCTTCGTAACAACGGATGATCCTTTAATGAGCATCGAGATAGGCTTCCTGTTGTTCTGGCCGACTTTCACTACGGCACCTTTCAGACTGAGATCAAATGTCAAGCTGATTACCTTGCCCGTAGGAGTCACCGCGCTCGTCAGTCTACCAAACTCATCATAATTATAAACGTAACTACGTCCGGTACTGTCGAGTTTTGTTTTTAGTAAGCCCGTGGGTCCGTGATAGTCGAAGGTAACATTGTAATCATCGGGCGTGCTCAATTCCTGCAGCATTTTCATCCTGGACATTCTCAGTCTGCATTTTTGTCCCTTCGTGTTCTCAATCGAATTTACCTGACTGCTGTAATCTCTGAGTAAGAAGACCTTGTTGCCAGCCGCGTCCGTCACCGTGCTGAGCTTACCGTTACTGGTGTTCACATTGTAGGTAAAGAGATACACGGTTTCGCCGGTCAAAATATTCTTCGTGGCAATATGTTGGCCGAATCGGTTGAACACATAGATCTCCTGTGTGTCGGGCGCATAGATTTCGTATTCGCGCGCACCGCTCGCATCAGGAATGCTTGCCGTCACCGAGCGGATTCGATAATTAGCCTGGTCGCCGATGTGCACTACCCCATCGGGGGAAACTGCCACAGCGGATATGGTGTTGAATTTAGAGGTGGATGCCAAATAATGATCTGCCTCGAAGCAGTCGCAGCCGCGCTCCAAACAATTGCACTTGGATTCGGCGCCGGCATACGGCGATATTTTGCCGTCAGTGCCGATCACGCGAACGCGATTGATCCTCTGCGAATCGCTCTCGGCGATGTAGAGATCGCCCGATGGACCGAACGCGATACTCTGCGGCATCACGAGTGTAGCATGAGTCGCGAGTTCCGTGTCGAACGAGGCCGATGGCGAAGCGCAGTGAAGCGGACGACCAGCGACGACTTTGACGCGACCGTCCGGCGCCAGCTGAAGGACCATATGATCGTCAATCATGTGCAGCGAATTGTCCAGAGGATTGATCGCCAGCTCGGTTGGCCAACGGAGGTGGACTTCCTCGACGTTCAACGTGCCCTCGCAGGGTATGGGCTTCCAATGCGACTTGTGCATGTGATTGCCGATCACGGTGGTGATAATGCCGTCCCTGTCGACCATTCGGATGTTCGTGCCGTCAGCGAAGTATAGGACGTTGTCCGCAGAAACGGCAACGCCTTTGGGATAAGCGAGTTTAGCGTCTCGCGCGAGAGCGCCATCACCGCAATGAGCTTCATCGCCGGGAAGACAACGTTCCCCGGAGCCGACCACTGTCTCCCAGTTATGCTCGGGATCCGTGTAGTCGTTGGTATCGCGAACGCGAATAATCTGATGAGATTCTGGATCCGATATGTAGAGAACGCCGTCCAGAGGACTCAGAGCAATGTGATAACGATATGATACTCTGGTTGCGCTAAAAAAATTAATTTAGAGTTAAATTAAATTTATGAAAAAAAGAGTTATAAAAATTATTGTATAAACAGTATTAGTTACATACTTTAGTCTGACCACAGTTCTAACTGTTCCATCGACGAGGATCTTCCTGACTAGATTGAAATCACCGACGAAGATGGAGCCGTCTGCGGCAGTGGCGAGAGCAACGGGCGCTAAGAGACGCTGTTTCGAAGCTTGTCCGTCGCAGTCGTAGCAATCCAGCGGCCTTTGATGACCATCTCCCATCGTGGTGAGAATAACTCTCGGTTTGTGCTTGAGATAAATGTTCGAGCCATCTCCCTTTTGCAAAATACCCTCGTGGAAGTTATACCTATGATGAATGTCCAGATTCCAACCGCCGACTTCCGAAATAGACATGTCATGACCGCTCAACTTCGTCGTCTGTACGTCCCAGATGATGTCCTTGCAGTCACCGTACTCGTAACCGACCTTGACCATAGCGGTCGTCACCCCGTAAACGCGTTGACGATAAACGTTCAGGCGGTTCCAGGCGTAAGTGAACTTGATCACGGGATCGGCCTCGAAGATCTTCTCGAAGAGTATACCCTCGATCGTGATTCTCAAGTGTATCAGATTTAATGTCGGCGGGATGACTTCCGGCGTCAGCTGCAGTTGTATGGTGGAGAGATAACCGGCCGCTCGGGAACTGTGATACACCAAATTCAGGCCCGTCCCGGGTATCTGCAAGCTTTCCTGTATGACCTGCGACTCCGCCAAGATAGCGCTCTTGTCCGGGCAGGCACCTTGGAATCCGTGCTTCCAGGTCGCCAGAACGACCGGCTTCATGAGATCGTAATCGTGAGCCGCGCACGCATGCGGAACGTGTATGGGTGGCTTCTCCTCGGCGGTGCTCATGATAATCTTGTCGATGATGACGACCTGTAGCGAAACAAATGATACCTTCATTATCTTGTCTTTAACCGTAAGATGAATATCAGGAGTTCCTGGTGACGCGCGATAAATTTATTACATCGTGAGAAACTCACCTCGTTCCAAGGCACGAAGACGATATGGCTCTGCGGCTTGAAGGGCGACCTGCCGAATTGTAAAGTTACGGCACCGCCGCCGTTCACCAGGAGATCGAACCAGCCGTCGTCTCTCGTGAGAGTGAAGCCTTCCAGCGGTGTGCTGGTGCTCACCCGCACCCCCATCAATCCCGTGCCAAGGTGCGTGACAACGCGACCACGTATGACTGCCGACCGGCTATTAGACAACGACTGTGTTAATCGCAGGAAGCTCGCGAGCGCGTATATAGTCTAAGATCATTTCTCTGTGTGCTTCGTCGTACACTACCAACAAAGCAATCGCTATTCTCTAGGCTAATCTCAATCTACTACGTTTTACTGTTCACACTTCTCGGATATCTCCTCTTCCGAGTGCATACCGACGAAAAAATACTGCCACTTGATAACGCTTAATAAGAGGTCTGACTTTCAATATTTCGTTAAGAAAAAAATAAGACTTGACTGATAGATAAATTAAACGCGTGCCTTTTTGTTTTTATGATTTCACAAATAATGAGCAAAAGTGTGATAGAAAATGAGAATATCTTCTTTTTACTGCTAATAGAAGATTAGGAACGTCTTCTTTTTAATTATACGTTATAATGTGAGTTGTATCTATTAAAATAAAGCGATAAAGTAGGGGTGCAGAAAAGACCTCGGGTGTTTTGCTTCAGGCCCAAGTGCTTTAAGAATAGATCCTTGAGATTGATCCATAATTCGATATCTGTGATGGGAAAAATCGCTATAATTAAACGCAAAGTGCGCGTCTCACGGATGTTTAAAAAGACAGGGGCAATCGAGGGTGAATTTGCATCGAAGGGTAATGTGTGTCCATTTATATTATGTGACAGAATCCTTTCGCCGGTTAATAATTATCTCGATATCGGGCATTAATCGCCAATCGCGTATGCAGATATCTTGAATATTTAACGCGATGTACTTTCGTCAATTTTGCTTCTCAGTGCTAAAGAGGAACCACTCGACTCTTCGACCGTCCGCTGCACGAATAACGGCGAACGTGATCGGTGCCTTTCTTCTCCTTTTTTTGTCATTTCGATGTTTCGACGAGATTTTCTCGAATTTCTCTGTCAGACTGTAGTTGCCTGTGGTTTATTAAATAAGCAATATAGTGTACAACAGTCGAACCTTCGTGCCTCTTTGGCACTGGAGCATAATAGTCGAGGACAAGTCACTACTTATATAAGTATAACAGTCAATATATATATTTATATATACACGAATAACACAAAGTCGGAAGCTCAACGTAAAAGGCACGAAACACAACGTAGGAATAAAAAGGTAACTGAACCATGCAACATGAGAATGTGTTCAACAATAACGGAGGACGAAGTGCGAGCTCGAACGATCGTGGAATGTGTTCCAACTGTCAAGATAGAGACTCTTAGATCGTGTATTTCGCTCATTTTCCGTAGTATCCCGCCTAAGTCAATGAGAGAACGTAGATATCACCAGCATTAGTGAGAGTAATCCTCTCCTGATGCTCGATGATTCTTGATATCTATGATAGATGTTGCACATCCAAGCTTTCTTATCATCTTGGAGACGATTGATACTCTAAATGTGAAATACACGATCGAAGGAGACCTGCTGAAAATTCAATCAAATCGAGATAGGTCAAGGCTTCTCAAGCGCAGTCGAACGCACACACGCACGGCTCGTCGCGATCGGGATGCAGGATGTATTTATTTACAGATACGTGAGAGATACCAAATGCACGAAAATATTATCAAACAGCAGCAGGTTCTTTTAATACCGCTACGACGGATCTTATTACGGATCCTCGTTCATTTAGTCGAGCGTCTGGTTTTTCTTACCTTGTGTTGAAGTGATTCCAGAACATACTGACCGGGCAGCACGGATAAAACAGAGCCGAGTTAAAATGATGCGATTAAAGGCGAAAATAGGAGGAGGAGGAGGACGCGGGACCGAGGGTACGGGTCGGGAGAGAGAGAAAAAAAAGTATCAAAGGATTTCCAGAGGCAGGAGGATGAAAATATAGAAGAGTCTGAGGAAAACTTTCCGCTTTTACGAAGAATTTCGATACGTCGCGTCTCCGGATTACTAGAATTTGCCGGTCCCTTCCAATGGACCCGACGCGTCGGGGAGAAAAAACTGTCCGGTTATTGTATCCCCTTCCTACCCCCTTAGCCGGCATGATGAGCGAAAAGCTCGAGGCTTAAACATGGACTCATACATTCACGCAAGCTCCACTCGGACGGACATGAGAAAGAGAGAAAGAGAAAGTATCGAAAGAACGGGGGGGGGGGTTGGATTGATATATATCGATAGATAGATCGTAAGGGACTGTGATCGGAATAGACAGAGAAAGAGAATGAAAGAGAGAAAGAGAAATAGATTGATGGAGACGAGGGCCGGGGGGGAGGCTTAATGCAGGGCACACGCTCGCGCACACGTACGTACAAAACATATGTAGAAAACTGTTGGGATGTGATTTCACACGGGTCACAACAACGCAGATATAATATATTGAAATCTATGTATATGCATCCTCGTGTCTGTACTGTTCGGTAATACATGTGTATTGAGAGAGAGATGTACAGGGGTATGCGTGTATCTTGTAATATGCGCGCAGAGGCAGCTAAAAGATTACCGGGTCCCTGCGAGAGAGAGCTGGGACCCTATTCTCTGTGTGCGCGCTTCTTCCCGCTTAGTTAAAAATAGAGATCGATCGGCTTTGCTCGACTAATCTTTCAACCGATTCAGTTCCCGGCTCGAGTCAAAGGGACCGTACATATATTCGTATTATTAATAACCTTTAGTCGTCCCGTCAAGCATGCAACTTTCTCGACCTTCGCGATTCACGCTTTACACAGGCTCACCCCCACCCCCCATGCACTTCCTTTGCCATACGGATCCTTTGCCTAATTTGAAATACATGTGACCTTAATTAACGATGTCGAGGCACTAATAGTTTCCGAGCTGTAAGCTGTTGAAAATCTGGGAAATCTTGGAAGCTTTAAGAATCAAATTAAATAATAAAATCTTATTTCCTCACTCGCGAGAATGTCTTCAGTGAAATTTACGTCAATCAAAATTTTATTTAAAATTTAGTCGCCATAAAGAAATTCTTGAAAAATAGCGCTCAATAAAATTAATTTTATATTGTTCAAGAAATCCATATGCAAAAGAAAATGTGGCGAACTTTGTGTGATACCTTGTGTAGCGTCAATGTGTGTTCCTATTTAATGCTGCCATTCTCTCGTGATCGCGCATGTGTTGAGATTCCTATTTCATTTCTTTACTCAGAGACACGCAGACTGTAGACGCAACATCGACATCGGGACGGACAATTTTCGCTAACGATTTCAACGCGCTGACGACGAGGATCATGACGACGACATTGGTCGCAAGGACGAGAGGGGAAAGTCTCGCGCGACGATAGACGGCGAACTTACCTCTCGTTGAAGGTCTCCTGACGAGCGTAGTTCTGCAGACTGCCCTCGTCGATTAGGAACTTCATTCTCTCGAAGAAGGATGCGGTGATGGCGGGCGGTTGTTTCCGTAGTAATATATCGATTGGCTTAGGAGCTGAAACGCACAGCTGGCTGCTGCGGCATATATGATTGGAGCAACATTCCGGGTCGGCGCAATCAATGAGACCATCTAAAAGATACATTATTTTTCATTAAAGTCGCAAGAAAAAGATATACACTTACTGATGACAGCCTCGGGCGGTTGCTTAATTTTGAACAAATATTCTAACTATAAATACTATTTAAACAAATACAAGAGTATCTAAAATTCCAATTTGCATTATCTCTTTTAGCCTTCAGTTCATTTTTTCTATCGTTTAACTTTAAATTTAATTAGATTATATTTACGAAATATTATACAAGAATAATAATCAAGTTTCTCTTTTACGTATTAAATTAATGTAAGAAAAAAATGAAACAATGTTTAAACGCTGTACCTTTATCGTTGTCTCGTCCGTCGTTACAATTCTGTTCTAGAAGCACGCTACAATCCTTGCCGTCCCAGCCGTTATAGCACTGACACTCCCACTGCGCGTCGTTCGACACCCTGCACTGTCCGTGGCCGGAACAGGAATTCGGACAGCCCTCCATCGTGCAGTGTTTTCCGTTCCATCCGGTGACGCATAGACACGTGCCATTCTTGCATTGTCCGTGCTCGTTGCAGCGAGGATCGCATTGCTTCAGATTGCACAGCTCGCCGGACCAGCCTGGCAAGCAGTCGCAGGCGTTGTCCACGCAGTGCCCGTGAGGCCCGCAATCAAGATCGCACAGTTCTGAAACACGAAGCGAGAGGCTTAAAACGATTGTTCGAAGTGCATGGAATAATACGGAAGTATGTTAGTCCAAGCGGACACTCAGAAGCAAAGCGATGATCGTTCGACAAGTAAATAAAAAGAGAAGGGGTGGGGTCTAGAAAAGTGAACAGTTAATCGGGAGAGTTTCGTAAAAATTACTTCGCAAGTTCTGTCACCATCCAAAAAAAACCTGGAAACATAGGAATCGTCAATTCACCGAAAGTAGAATCGATACTCTTAACCCAATTCCATATCGCGTTTACTTCGCTGATTTTAAATGTTACAGGTCGACATAGACATCTATCCAGTGTGCTAATTTCGTCCAGCTTGCTAGCTCTTAAAATAAATTTATAAACGCATAAATGTCAAAAGATAAAATGAGTCGGTTTAAAATGCCTTCAAAAAGACCAATTACAAAAAAAAAACCAATAAAAAGATACCATTTTTAAAGTATTGTAGAAAAAAAACTAACAAAAACTGTCTTTTAATTTTTAATCTTTTCTCCCATATATTTAATTCTACTATACAATACAGCTAACTACTCTATTTTTAATCTTTATAAACTGAAAAATGACATATTCATATGTCATTTTTACTTCTTGTTCGATGTACGATATTCTGAAATATAATTATGTTCGCTCATTCATCCACTTACCTTTCGAGCAATCATCACCGGACCACATGGGCTCGCAGAGGCAGGTCTGGGTCTCCAGATCGAAATTCCCGTGACCGCTGCAGTCCGGCAGGCACTGCAGTGCCTCTTTATCCATTTGACTGCAGTCGGCTCCTTTCCAGCCCTTTTTACAGATGCACGTTCCCTCGGCGCAGAAACCGTGGCCCGAGCAAGTCGGATGTGGACAGTCGACCTCTTCGCAGTACTTCCCCTTGTAGCCGCGTACACAGTTGCACTTGCCGTTGGTGCAATGCCCGTGACCGTTGCAGTCGGGCACTTCGCACTCGTCGTGTCGCAGGGAGCACTCTTTGCCCTTCCAGCCGGGATTGCATTGGCACTCGCCGTTTATGTACTCGCCTAAATCGAAACGACGGGATTACTTATTTGTTGACGGGACGCGAACGAGAATTATTTATGCGCACAAAACTCGCAAATTTGATTTCGGACGGAGACTTTCAAGGATTAAAGCTCCCGATAAGACGCAATTGTCGCCGTAACTGATCGACATAGAAAATATTTGTATTTCAATTGATTGGGTCCCCAGAAATTACAAGAGTGTATTAATGTACTTCTCTTGAAAAATAAGTTACTATATTTTATTCACAGTAAATAAACACAACTGCGTATCGCTTCGCGAGTGCACTGAGGGAGAAACTGGTGTACCAAGCACCCAGGAAATTAACATGTATCGCGAGTATTTGCAAAAGTGCAATACTGAAACGAGTGAAACGTAATCGGCTTTGATTTCTATTTAAAAGAAATCAATAAACGAAGCCGCGCGGAACTTGGTTTTTTTAATCGGTTAAAAAACCTACCAATCGTTATTTCTTTCTATTTCAATAGGATTTTAATCAAACCCGTAACCAATAACCGATTTTTGAAGTTTATTAAAATTCCAATACGGATTTCAATTTAATGTTATTTTAATCAAACGGTTGAATCCTATTATCAGATTTCTCAATATTTTTATAGTAATAATTTTATATATATATAATAATACATATGCATGCGGATATATAGTATATAAAACAATATAACAAAAATATATCAAAATAAATATAAATTATTGTAAAACCGATATTTACACGATTAAAACAAACAAAAGGCGATTAACGATTAACTTTTACCCGGGAATATTTTTTTACCAGGTAAGACAAGCTCACCTCTTTGACTGCAAAGAACGGGACAGACACTCTCGCTGCAGTCTTCGCCACCGAAACCAGGATTGCACTGGCAATGGCCGAGAAGACACTCGCCCTTGCCGCTACAACCGTTTGGGCAGTTATGCGTCATATCCTCGGCGATTACGGCGATGAACGAGACTTCATGAGGATCTCCGTCGTCGTTATAAAGCGAAAGAAACCAATGTCCCGGCTCCATATACTGGGTTACCTCCTTCTTAATCGAAGGCTGTGAAAGTCATCGGAAATTGGAATTAAACTGTCACCACTTGATCACGTATACATGCGTATTCGTCGTCGAGCGGGAGAATAAAAAAAGGAAAAAAAAAGACATTCTCTAGCCGAGATTATCGGCATATTACGCGAGAAAGTGAAATAAAAATGGGGTAGCGGCACATACAATAACACTAACATGGGACGCCCTGGTGGTCCGAGCCTTGAAGCCGCTGAGAACTTCCAGTAGATCGTACTGCGTGTGCGTGGGCAGCGCGTTCCTCCTCGCGTACACGCCGATGCTCGCACCACGCGGGATGTTGTAGTCGAAGCGAACGTAGGCGGCCTCCGATTGGTAAAACTGCATGTTCCAGTAGCCGTACGGCGGTATCTCCTTGCTGAGCTTCTGTCCTAAACCGACCTGAGCGAAGGTCGTTCCGTCAGGCGGGAAGGACCTCGCCGGGAAGGTTCGCGCACCTACGGACGCGAAGTCGCAATCAGAAGCATGTACACGACTGAGGAAGCTCGAGTTTCCGTTGGATAATGTAAGTCGAGATCGTCATTAGTAATTTTAGTATAATTAATTGCGTAATCCAACTACCAAAAAGTGACTGCCTAGACTGCAACTTGTACCGAACAGCTGGCTTTAAAAGGAAAAGAGCAAAATTGGCGTTAAGTTACACAGCATCGAGATTACATTATCCGACAGACGTAAGAATTCACTCTTGAAATATTCTCAAGTCTAGGCATGGATGCTTATGCATGTTGGTTTCGTGAGCGTTATATCTTTTCTTTTATACATTTTATTTTTAAACGGATCGATTAATTTTAGTATCAGTTATTTCACAATTAATGGAACCGCGGTGAAAATTATTTTTCTTTTGAAAACGCACTTTTGTGCATCAACAATAACTGTTACAACCGCCAACAATTAATTCGGGACATTCCGTGCAGGAATTGATTAAGGAATTCATACTGGTGACTTAAAACTACATCACCGTTATAATCTACGTAAATTACACTACCCACTACCACAAAACACATTACAATGACTACAACAGTACAGGCAAATCAGCGTAAACTCGCTTTTGACCAGTCCACGAGTAAAACAACAAGCGAAGAATTGAGCATCAGCATCAGCGAAGACGGAAAACACAGAAAGTAGAAGTATCAGAATATAGAAGAGAATAGAAGAGAAGTGATTCAGGAAGAAAAGATCAAAGATCAGAGAAAGAGAGAAAACGGGGCCTCACCTTCGAGAATCAGTATAGTGGGTTCTGGGGGTAGCGGAGTGCTCCCAGAGCAAGGCCACGCATCAGTGCTTACTTCCGGCTCGTAAGTCGACGCGGAAGTATCGTTGATTGACTCGCCACTCACCGCGGTGTCGTCTGTCGACGAAGGATAATAGTCCTCGGTAGTGGAGGTCGCGTCAGGCCTTACCGAATCTTTCACGGATGACTCTCCGTCCCTCTTATCCGTCAGTCTCTCCCCCGGCTCCTCGGGGGAATTCTCGGCTAACAGAGTGGAGTTAATGCTCTCGAGCTGCTCCTGCTCGAGGTCGTCGTCGATCGCTGAAAAGTTGTCCCACTCGTCAGAGGATGAGCCCATGCAGGGGCAGGAGCACTCGCACTCGCCGCCGGCCCAGATCGGCGCCGGCGGCGAGGCAGGTGGCTGCGGCGGTGGCGGTAATCGCGTATCGATCGCGTCAATCGATTCTTCGTCGTTAGCTGGGATTTTTTTCATGCTTGCTGCGGATGGCTCCGATAGCCGCTCGGCCGTGCGCACCTGCACCTGATCGACGCTATTCCCGGATGAATGGCTAATCGCGCCGCTTTCCGTCGGCACCGACACCGACAGGACGTACAGCGGCCTCGAGGAAACGGCGGACGAGTCTTCGGTGGCGATCGTTACGTTTATGAGCACTCGATGCGATGACGATGAGAATGAGGACGATGAAGAGGGCGAGGACAACGGCTGCGAATGACCGTCGCGGTATACAGGTACCTCTACGATCTGCACGCGTTGGGTCATCGGATGGATGGACCAAGGGGACCCGGGTGATGCGTTGCCCGATGAATCATGCACCGTTTCATGCACGGGAGGTTTCATGTCCGCTGGAGGGGAGTTATAATTAGTCTTAATCGATGGGAAATTTTCAACGGATTCTTCAGCATCGATGGACGCCTCGTGGAACTGTTCTTTAAACTGCCGAAGAAACTCTTCGTCGCTCTTTTCTCTCACGACGATCTGTGGATCGTTTTTATTCCGATCCTGTCGAAGAGCGGCGTTCATCTTTACATCGTTGTTGAGACTCACGGATTCGGATGATTTAACAGGGCGTTCCGCTTTTGCGGTTTCAACGGGTTGTTTCTTGTGATGAAGGTTGACGATCTCCACCTCGTCCTGCCCGTAGCTGTAAATCGGGACGGGATAGTCTCGTTGCAGTTCCTCAGATTGCTCGGAAGTTCTAGTTATATTGGATGAGGTCTCGGATTCGGAAGAGGTAAATTCTCTGGAGAGCTCCCGCGTTTCTTTTACGATGCTGGATGTCTGGGATTCTACCGATTTCGCGGTAATATTTATCGTCTTTGAGATACCGTCGCTTTTTGCAGAAGTGACCAACCTCTCATTTTCATCCGAGCTAATTTTTTCCTCAGACACGTCTTCGCGATCTTCGGCAACCTCGATTACGTCTTCCACAGGTTCCTCGACGTTCTCATCCTTATTCGGTAGAGCATTAAGCGCTGTTTCATTATCTACGCTCATACTAGGCGAAACTGTGACAGCATCTACTTTTTTCTGATCCATTTCTACGGGAACTAATTTTTCGCTTGAATTACTTACGTCCGATTGTTGGCTCTCCGTTAGTTCCTTCGAGTGTATTTCTGTTACGGTCGTTGGCTCTACAGTGCCATCGTCTATATTATCACTGTAATCGACGGGGAAAACGTTACTGCCATTTTCTGCAATTCCGCCGACTACTTGGCCGTAGTCGGTGCTATCTGCGCCAAGTTTCGCGGACTCCGCGCCGGATGCAGACGTCGTAGCCCCGGTGCCGTCGGTGCTGCTTTCGGCAATGTCCGAACTTTCGGACGTGCCGGCGTTATCGGTATCGCGGACGAAATCCGCGAAGTCATCGCGGCTGAGTTTCGCCATCGGGACTTTCGAGGCGGCGTGCACCTCTTGATGCCGTGTCTCGGCGACGACGTCGATACCGTCGACGGCCGGGAACTTCGGGGTGCGTCCCGAGGAAGTGTCTTGCGGCGGTGATCGCGGGGTCGTGCCGGACGTCTCGTTACGGGGCGATTGGCGAACGAAAGTTAACGCGAGAGAATTGCCAGAACCGACAGAGACAGAGGACGAAGAGGCGAGATGATCGACAGCGACAGTGGTATGAGTCGAACGATCGTACGAGTAGTTAGTAGCGGTAGAAGAGACATTCACGACAAGCTGTACCGTCCGCGAGGAAGCCGTTGATCCCGGTGACTCCGGCGGCACGTCCTCGGCGTTCACGGCAGCTGCTTCGCTCGAGCGGTCGATGGCTCCTCTCACCGGATTCCGACCGTCCGCATGCTCCGGATCATGCACAACCTTACCAGGAGACTCCTCCTCATGCAACGGGACTGACCGCTGCCCGGACCCCGAGGTCTCCGCCTCGGCGAGAGCGGCCGGGGTCAAGGGCAGCTCCTCGGGGTCACGAGGGGGTGGTGGCGCGACAGTTTGGTGCAACGCATGCTCGTTAAACGTGTCCCTACGTTTGCGGCTGTATACGACAACACCATCTAGCAACATGCTATCCGACGTGCTAATACTACCTCCTGACGACGACTGCTGCCGCGTCCTGCCGCTCGACTGCGACGACGTCGACGTGGACGATGTGGACGTCTTGTTCGTCTCGCCCGAAGACGGCTTGGCGTCGGTGTTCTCGCCCACCAGGACCGTGCACGCCTTCGTGCCTTGGTACGACCAGTTCACTAAATTCGACGCTTAATAAGGGATCAATTAGGATTGGATGTAGTGTTAGTTTATCAAACATTACGCTACGTTATTTTTCACGTTACGCCATATCGCTTCAAGATTAAATTTCACCCGCGAAAATTAAAAAATGATCTAAAATATCTGATAGATAACGACGCGTTCAAGAAACTTTTGCTTTTTAGAAACGTCTCTCAGATATCCGTTGCTTAAGAGCAACGTGTTTAAACAGAGCTGTTAAATCTCTAACTCAAAATTACGCGCGCTCGATGTAAAAGACAGATATTTCGTAGAGCAAAGAAAGATCGCTCGGAATGCAATATGCGAATAATTACCTGCGACGTAGGTTAATGCCGCGGTCAAGCAGAGCGAGAGCATAATTACTACTATGGCAATTAGTTTCCAGCTGCACCAATCGATTCCCTTGCGGAAATGACAGCGGATGCTTTGTCTCCTCATCGGGATCATCGACGGGGCGTGCCCGTAAGGTAAAGGTACTCTGAAAACCGATGAAGGTCGATTTGTAGCCAGCCGCATGTAAATTCCCGTCACGACGGTAGCGGATCCCGCTGAACACGCGCATTATCCCCCCCCCCCCATCGCTCATTAGCGGTCAGAGATTAATCTTTATCCCCCCGCCGTTTTATCCGAAAAGTTAGATAGCCGTCCGTATACCCGAACCCGCCGTTACACGGCGTAATTTCTCGATGCGCCGCCATTGTAATTAGAGAAACACCGCCGTGGAATTCGGCACCTCGGTACAATTTTCAGGCACGTTCGCGGCCGAACTCTCGGAGTTTCGGTACAGCGTGGAGTTTCGTCCCTCTTTCTCCCGCTCTCTCCCTCGTGACGTTCGAGAAACTCGTAATGTATTCTCGCTCGTTACATACCTCCGTGGAAAAGTGGCAGCCCTCGAGTGTGTTTGTATTGAACGTTGCCGCCGCCGCGTCGTGCCGCCGTTTCCAAGTAACTCACAAATGTCTAACCAAAATATTTAAACTCAACCGTCGGATTCTGAAGCGTGAGCGGGAAAGCGCGTTTGCTTTCGTTGCACCGCGTGATAATGAAAAAAACGTGAACCAAGCGGCGTCTACCAGGGCGTCCTCTCTCCCGCTTGTTGATTCTACGCGGATTGGACGCGCATTTTTTTTCTATCGCGCAAACCAAATAAAAGCGGACGATTTGGAGTTTCCCCGAGTGAAACTTCCGGCCTCTGAATTCCCCATTTTGCAGCCCCCCGAATGTCGAAATGTTTAACCGAATGTTTGACTTATTCGTTACAAAGTTTCAATATTGAAATATCCTACGTTTTTGAACGTTAAGCCCTTCGCTTTTATCACATTTACATTTTCAGGATATTCCGTTTTGTTTTGATTTTTAATAAATATAAGTGAAATATTAATTTTATCCGAATAAAAAAGAATATTGGATCATGCCGTTTCTCGTATAATTTTACTATTTCCGTAAAACGTCAAAAAATTTCACGATGTACAAATTAATGCAAGTACAAACGAATCACATTGCGCACTCGCCGGATCGGCCGAGAATTAGCATTGGCTATTATCAAATTAGTTTTCTCATTTCGTATTACTTCAATATCGTTCTATTCAATCTCTTAAAAATGACTCGCTCAACTTTCGAGCCGGGGCGTTAATGCCATTTAGCAAATTTGCATACCGTAAAAGCGGAGAAACTCGAATCTCCGTTCGCTCCCAGGGTGGCGCGTTATCAAATTCCATTCTCCTCTCTTTCTCTCTCCCCGCGGCCGAAGGAAGTTCGTTTACCGGCTTCGTAAACACGATGTGAAATCTCTCTCGCGGTAGCAGACGTTTTGCAAGTTTTCGACGGCGCGCTCTTCTCTGTGGATCTGCGGCGAATGGCGAATGGTCCTTATAAGAACCGTAAGAACCCGTAAGACCGACGATTTTCCACAGGGCGGACGTCACGAGCGTAGGCGAGAGACGCACGCTTTCTTGAGGTACGACAATCCACGCTCAAACATTGACTCATTGTGCCGCGAGTCGACTGCATGAATGGATGATTCATGAGGATCTCTCGAGTGGCACGAAGAAAGAAGCGGCGGAACAGAAGTCGGCCCGCGCGGCCCTGTATTCGTTTAGCCTCGATCATGTGTCGGTTTTCGGAACACGAATTTTCTCTGCACGGTATACCACGACGACGACGGTCCAATTCATTCACCATCGAGGACACCTCGCCGCCACGGCGGGGGGAGGGAAAAAGTATTGTGCGAGTGCGGTAAACGGTCTTACCTGTCCATGTTGTTCTGCAGCTCCACCTTTATTGGACTGTTCCCCGTGGACTGATTCTTGTTGTTGTATTCATTCTTCGGTATCTCTGCAAAAGAGAAGAGAAAACAGAGAATGAAGACAGTTTGTTATATTCGCGTCTGACAGATCGGCGAAATTTCTCGTGGGAAACAACGTGGGCGCCCCCGTCAAGGTTTTTCCCCCCGCCCGTCCAAAATGTAAATGCAATTCAGCGCGATGTAGTTTACATTTTACGTAATGCATACGAAATCGTATTATACAGGAAGCGTCATAATATACGCGGAAAATTGGCGGTAAGATAGCTTTTTCGACGAGCTCGCGCACACTTGGCGCCTCCGAGAGGGGCATTATTCCTCAATTTTTAAAGTTGCGCGCACGGGATTAGCCGCCGCGTCGCGGCTCTATCAAGTTAACTGATTTACCGAGGTAAATGATATCGTTAGAGCCGCTAATAGACAGCACGTATTACGTTTTGACGTGGGATCTCTATCGGTTTTGACGGGGCTAAAAATGACCGCCGTCAATCCGTCGTCGGGATAATCACGCCCCCTCGCTTACGTTTACCCTCGCGCCGGCCATTTCCGATTACGCGCGGAACGTGTAATTAGGAGCGCTCGAGCGCGGAGGCTGGTGAGCGCGCGAGGCGTGGCCGACCGTTAAATAAATTACGACAGCGTGTCGATTCTTCATTTTCAACGGCGCGGCGAGGCTTTTCCCCCCGGTGAACGACCAGACGCGATTCTTTGTGATGCCAGACGCGAACGTCTTTCCACTCACGCGCGTTTCCCCACACGCGTGAGGCGGTCGCGGGGCTCTTGTTGAATCGATAAGTATATGATTCATCGCGGTTTCGACTTGAATTTCAAGCAACCGCGCGAAGGGAAGCCTGCGTATAGGTATGCGTTCTCGAGTCTTAGAAAACCGTCGAGGATTTTGTGTAAAGACGAGGAGAAATCGTAGGAAAAAAAGGGGCTTCTATTCAAAAAGCGGCTAATTTGGTAGTATAATGCATTGGAAATCGTGACTTTTTTCTTTTGTCGTCTTTCAAGATCTCCGGAAGGTATGATCTCGGAAATCGAGGCGGTATACATCCTGTATACGCGATTCCGCATCGGCATATTTGACGGACGATGGTGAACGTCGTGATGACTGGATGATTAGTGGTGGATGGCGGTGGTCTGAGGGATCACACTCTCGCAACAATATGCACGAGTGGTATTAACGCGTTAATCCTCAACCGAGGGAACCTCGAGCACACAAGTTTCGGGCATGGAATAGCGGAGTAACACGAATTCTATTACGTTTCTCGCGATACCCTACTGAAATATTAGAGTTAATATTAGCCGCGATAAAATAGCTCGTTCGCAAAACGCGCACTTTTATATTCATTCGCGATTAAAATAATAATTATAAAAAAAAGTACAACATTCATAGTCAGCGGAAAATATCGCGGAAAAAAATCAGAATTACATATTTAAATCCAGGTATAATAACTAATAAAATAGAAATAAGCACGTTGAAATGTATTTACATTTGAAACAAGCTGTGAATTAATTTTGGAAGTTTAACTCGAGTACTTCTCTCTCTCTCTCTCTCTCTCTCTCGGTCTCTCCGCGCGTCGAGATACGGTCGCGCGTGGTAGCGCGGTGCGCATTTAAAACGCAGTGCTCCAGCGTTTTGAATATTAATGAGCCACTTTACACGTTTACGCGCGCAAGCGGCATTCGAGTTCGAGCTTTGTTGTTCTTGACACTTAGCCCGTCTCGAGTCCGCTTCACGAAACCCCTTTTTCGAGACGCGCTCGATACGAGGAGCGAGCGAGGCAGAGTTTGGTTGCTTCAGCGCCCCTTCGTCTTCTTATGGAAAGCTCGCCCAACTCTAATGTTCGCCCGCACCTTTAGGCATACCTGGGCGAAACGGTAAAACGCGGGCGTGGGAAGAGAAGAGGGCCCCAGAGCCGAAGCTGCTGACCCCACCACCGCTAATTGTAGGTGTTGGCGCTCCGGCCCCGAAATCCGGTGATTATGCCATTTAGGCAGATATCGGTGATTACGGTGATTTTCGGGGATACTCGGGCTCTACCCGGAGGGTGTCTTTCTCATTTTTATTTTCCTCCGGGGTGCTTAGGCGCACGAGACGGCGACCTCCATCGCCCGGAATCGAATTAAAGGGGAATGTCTGCTAATCGGCGGTTCGCTGGCGAGAATCCATTCTAATTGGCGACCCGCCAGGTGATTTACCGCCGATGATGCGCTCGCGAGAGGCATCCTTACGCGAAGAATAGCTTTGACGAAGGGTTGAACGTGAGTACGCATCGAATTGGAGCCGTGTTGGCCGTGTCAAATCATTTAAAGGACTAGAATCCCGGTTGCGCGATAATATTGAGCTATATATTTCAAGTCGAGAGCTGCAAGATAATTTTTCTCGAACGAAAAATATACGAAAAGAATTTAGCAAAAATATCTAGTATTAGAGGCAGCGAAATGTAAATATTTTGTTTTCAAAAAAATTTTAACTAAGTATTTCACGAATTAAAATGCTTCTCTTTCATTATACGTACCGTTGCAATTTGCGATCATAAGAAATCCCGCAGTAAACTTTTAGACACAGAGGAGTTCAATTTATTAGGTGCACACAAGTATTGTCCAGGTAACGTAGTCCTTTTGGCACATAAATATGTTTCTCACTTTACACACCAATCACGCAGCTCATAATTATAACAGAAAAACGAGTTTAGAGGTTACTTTAGGTAGACTCAAACGAAAAAAAAAAAAAAAAAAAAAAAAAACGAGAGCAAATTCACTGCGTGAGCAAGTGACTCTTAGGAAGGAAGATCTCGACTGTGGACTTAAGCATTATGCAGACGACCATAAGCGTCAGGCGGTGTCATAACCGGGCAGTCAATAAGACGAAGGATCGTAAGGCTCGTAAATCACCGTTCGACCTATCCCACGGATTTTAGAGAGAAACCTTTGAAGCGAGCCACGTTTGCTTTAGAAAAACATCAGGGTGCACAGAGACGCATCGGTGGAAAAGTCAACCCCGGCGCTCGACCATGGAATTTGAAAAATCTTTACGACGAGCCGAACAAGAGAAAGGAGCGTGTCACCGGGTGCCCGAGTATTTGTGCCGGACACTTCCCGAGTCGCCGAGTGGACCGGGGGAGACTTTATACGTAGAAAAGCTTAGGTTTCGCCGTTGTTTTCTCTGTAGTCGATACCACGCGTCGGTGGAGTACCTCGGAAAAATGTCGCCGCAAGGCGCCCTTTTCTTTCCGCGAGTACGCTCGGTGGCGTGGGTATGGCAAAGGACAAGTGAAACCGTCAAGGGATTTGTCCTTCGCCGTCGCTCAGGGTTCGTGTTTCGCCCATTGTTCTCCATATGGATATATATCGCTCATTTATCTTCGTGCAATTTCTAAAAAGTCAAGTTAAATTTTAACTATAATATCGCGGCCGATATTACCTATATTAAAATAATTGGCTCAAACAATAATTTGATCAAACAACTCGCGACGTCACAATTCCAATGTTCGCGATCTCTGTTGCTTTTTTTATTACTTCCTCTCGTATAGTTACTGCTATCTACTAGTGCTGAGCATTTGTAACATCTCTTTTTTATTCTGTTGAAAAGTTACCACCGGTATACAATGTTATTTCATGTTACGATCCTTTAAATTAGATTTGTAATTAATTTGCCTATGCGGGCGTAAGTTTGAAGAACTCGCGAAAGACTAAGTTGGCAAGCCGACTCGTACCAATTCGCTCTCCGCGCAGACCAATCTGCGGCGACTAAATTTTGAGAATCGTTCGGCTTGTTAGAGTCAAGTTAGTCTCGAGGCTACTCCAACAAGTCTCGACTTTTATTTCGAACTTTTATTTCACGAGAAACCGCGTTTTCTCACGCGCAACACGCGCATCGCCGGCGTTGTCACGTGCCTTGCTTTCCCAAGATAAAGCGGAGGGATATCTCTGGAATCCTTCGGCAAACAGACGAAGGCGTATACGAAAAGTTTGTTGAAAAAAAGGAAAAATTTCGGATAACGTAACGCGACTTTCAAGCCAAGTCTTAAAAAAAAAAACCTGGGGACGATAAGATGCGTCGAGTACAAAAAGAAGTTAAAAAAATTATCGACACTCCTCCCTTCGGCTGATCTTCTCATTGGTTACCACTGATTACGATGTATACCCTCGTCAAAGATGTCACCCGCCGTCGTCCTTTGCTTAAGCCTTCTTTCGACGGCTTGGCGCAAACATCGCCGACATTATCGGGGGGGACACACCCCACCGAGACCACAACAGGATACTTGTTCTCGCGCGAAGGCGCGTTTTTCTCCCTAACAAATATTTATCCGTATTTACGTTGATATATGTATATTTGTTTGTTAATCACGTGATACTATTAAAAGCATTGGAGTTTCATATTTGTATCCTCGCGGAGATAAATCGATGCTTTAGAGAGATACGAGAGAACGAGGACAGCTACGGAAATAGTCTCTTTCATTTCGTGATGCGACTACCTGACCAGATGTGTGCGCGGGTATGTGAGTGAGCGAATGTATATGAGAAAGAGAGAGAAGGAGGGAGAGAGAGAAAAAGAAAAACAAATTCTCGGACCAATATTCTTTAATTAAGATAATGGTGATCGCGAATCTTTTGACGGAGATGAAAGGGAAAATGTACGGAGTATTATTAAAACTATCATCTATAAATTCTTTGACCAATCTTGTACAATGGATAATTTTCCTAACAAAAGATACAAAGATCGATAATTCTCGAGCTATAGACACATCAAGACAAACAATTAAGAATAAGAAAAGTTCGAGCAATTCATTTTTTAACAAATGACATAACTTTACTGATCTAAATATTTTGTGTATTTAACATTTTTAAAATTGTGAAAATGCTATTGGAATTTCCGTTTCGTGTAAAACGAATCGATTTTAAATTGGCCAAAGGTACTCGTAGACGTAGGAAAAGGGGAAAGCCGTTTCCCACGTCTCTGTATGACTGCTCGCTCATTCCTTCTCTCTACTAAATCAGACTTAACGATCCCTGCCTGCGAACTCACTTGGTATATTGTAGAAGTTACCGGATGGGGTGCGTACGAGACAGGATGGCTCGAGATCGGGATCGCGTTCGTGATCGCTCGCTGCGTGACTTCCTGGCAGTCTTCCGTTGAGCCGGCTCATTGCGGGGTTACGGGGTGGCACATCAGGCGGGCCCCGTGGTGCCGAACTGTCCAACAAACACCCTGCAACAACAAAAGAAAAGGCACGCTCAGTCTGGAGATACTGGACACCCTTTAACATCTTTCTTAATTGCGCGGTATCGGGGAACAGAGTTATAAATTTCGTGGTCCAGAGATAAAAATGTCAAAAAAAAAAAAAAAAGAATCTATAAGAAACCCTTTGCCCGTGAAATTTCCCTTTTGAAAAGGCAGGCTTTTTCTGCCTTTGTATTTCGTCCTTGGTCGCTGATGTAATAAAAATAAAAATCAACCCTTGCAAATTGCCACGAGAAGGAAGATTGCAGGAGGCGAAAAGAATTATCTTCAATAAATGGCTACTGAAAATACGAGACATTCTTAAAAAATTACCTGTCTCGGAATAAAGTTAGTTCTGACGGTTGGTAAGAAAAACGGCGGGTCGACACGACGCGAGGATTCGCCTAGGATCTAGGGCGGCTGGCGGTCTCGAGGCTAATAATGCTCGCACCGAGTAATCCAGGGCAGATGGCCCCGGCCAGGGTTTTCATCTGGCGAAGGGTTGAGCCGATCTCACAGATTAGGCACAGTTCACACGCGACGCGCCAACACCGCGACTGTCGGGGGTGGATGGCAAGATGGAACACCGCTAACCCTATCCGCGAGCGATCTAGGATTTTTTAAGCCAAGATTTTTTTGAAGCCAAAGCCCCAGCAAAAGCTCGCTTTCGAGCATTGACGCAAACGCGAGGTAGCGGTGCAGATTTGCGGAGTGTCGCGGATTAAAAAGATCGTTGGGAGATATTAAAAATGGACAGCCACGATTCCTGATGCGATTCCTTGATTCGCGATGTGAGAGACCGTCACATTATTTATTTCGATATTTTCTACGAAAGCGTTAGCAGATTATAGTTAGACGCGTACTGTAATATTCAGCGGGCTTTATGCACACCGGAGGTAAACGCAAGCAGTTGCGAAGTTAAATTTCGGTCGGATAGTTTAAGCAGCGCCGTATGTACTCGCGTTTGCGTTAGAGAAATTTACTTGCGGTTTACTTTGTTCCAATATGTGATATTTCTCTAAAATATCACTTTATTTTATCGTTAGGTATTCTTCGTTAATATATTTCGAGAACAATTTAAATCTCCAGTTTTAATTTCTGACGCGTGACCGTGTACCAGTCCGATCGCTGTCATTCGAAAATAGTCGAATTCGGGCATTACGTCGGCGAAGAGTCCGAAGGGATCCGGTATGGGAATATCGGCAAGAAATTCGAGCCGCTTTTTCTGCATCGAGTGCCAGCCAATGAGGCGGATTCGTTCGTACTCTTTTTCTGATGGTCGTAACGAACGTCGCCTGATATCCTATTGAACGATAAAGGGCGCAACAGGAGGCGGCGTGAGCGGAAGAAGACAGGGGGAGTAGCGAGGGGGACCGGGCGAGCGAAAGATGAAGGAAGAGGGTGCGAGAGGAGAGCGACGAAAAAAAGAAGGAAAAAGTTTTATCCCGTGCGACGACAAAGGACTTTCTCAATCTCGTCTAATCGCGTGCTCGTCTCCCCTTCATCCTTCCTTCCACCCGTTCGCCGTAGCTACCAACTTCGATTCGTGCTTCGCTTGCGCGACCCTTTCCCCTGCCCTCCTTCCGGCCCCCACGACTTGGTTCAACCAAGAGCACTCGACCCTTTTACGACCGAACTTTCCCAGTTTCGACATTTCGCTCTTGGTCTCCCCCCCCTCCCTTTTCTCGGTGAGGAAAGCACCATTTGGCATTACTACAAATGTGCATCGGTCCATCGACGAAGGTAGAGACGCGTAAACTAGCGTAACGTTTCAAGGGCAACGGTGCCCCTTTTCCAAAAGTCAGAACCCATCTCGGAAAAACACTCCTTTTACATATATAGGTACTCAAGTTACGGCAAAACGATATTAACGGTAAAACGATACGGATACGAACGTTAACTGTGGTTACAATGGAACAAATTAATATATATCGACGTAATTAATAATAATCATATAGTAATAATATATATCCCAAATGTGAAACTCTTTTATTGTATATCTTCCTTCCCAACCCCGGATTCGTGTTCGGCGCGATCAAATATGAATCCTTATATTAATATTTCCCAACTCGAGGTGATTAAATTTTAATTAATGCAACAGTATACTGTCCAAGCTGTAGAACCAGCATGTGCGATATTAAATTTACGTATATGTAGATCTACATTAAAAAAAATATTCTCAATCAAAATGATTATCTTGGTTCTGCTGCGAAATGAGCGTCGAGAGTCGTCATAATTTTTGCTAATAGAAATTTCAGCGAAGCGGACACTATATAGTCGACAGTGCGCCTTGTCAACCGTTTCTATTATACCTGAAACTTGTTAACCCCAGAATCCGTTCGTTACGTACGAAACGTTTGCGCAACTCGAGAGCTTGAGCGCTCGACAGGAGCCGCGCCAGTCTATTCATCCTTGCCGGAGCCATCGAGGCAGAAGAGTCTGTGGCACGTCGTTATTCTTGCTAATAGATCGGCGGGAGTGGGTATTGTCCTGACACAGTTACTTGAAGGATCTCACCCCGTCGTCGTCTTCGTCGTCGCTCCTTTTCTCACCGTTTTAACAGTTTGAGCGCACGAGAAGGAGCGAGGATCTCCTCGTCGTCATCATCTTCGTCGTCGTCGTCATTCGAGGAGAATAAATAAAAACAGACCGAGGAGGACCAGGAGAGAAAGTTCGAGCATCGACAAAAGGGCACGGGATCTTGCATGCCGCTATCCAGGATGAGCATCGCGCGACAAAGGATGCGCGCACGCGGGTAGGTAGGAAGAAGCGAAGCATCCGTGAATCGAATTATGCTCGCCTGGTTTGCGCGCGACTGAATCCACATTCGTGAAGAGACCTAAGGGCGGAGGGCAACGAAAGGAACACGTCGTCACAGAGGACCCCGGGCTGAATGAGTCCCTGACCTCGAGGACCCGATGCCGCACACCCGGCCGACGTAATGGATGCGTGCCCATTGAGAGTGCGTCAAAACGCGTAACATAATATCGGGGCCCTTACGCGCAAGAGCCCATGCCTAATGGAATTTATTAGAGAAGGTACTTCTTTTTTCCGTGATCCTCAGGTACGGAGAATCCCCAACGGATCGAGCGTTCGCCGTGTAGAATCAAGAGGTTCTCCAGATCGTCAGATTGTCTTCGGATCACTGGAGGCGTTCTTTCGATATGGAAAAGCTAACTGGGACGACCGTATATGGAAAGAAAGTTAGATCTTGAGAGCAATTGATCGCTGCTCACCTTGTGCGATGTGCAATCTGATCACGTCAAACGCCTCTTCGTAGTTTTAATTCGAACATCAAAATAATAAATCTTTAAGCGATAAATCTATCTAATTTCGTTATTAATAATATTATTTCTACAGATTTTATGTGTGTCAAGTAAGTGTTATTAATTTAATATATGGATATGATGTATATGTACATATGCATATATAAAATTTGGCAACAAAACACCGTTACTTTAATTAAACGTTACTCATATGCGAGGATTAATAGCAATTTTATAATTGTACAAATATAAAATTAAAAAAATTAATGTACTAAATTAAATGACTCGTGGTGTATCGTGAATTTAAATTATGAATTTTTGTTTCTGATAAAAAGTATAGCCACCGCTATTTTTCGCCAAAAAAGTATGACTCATGTGAAACCACTCTCTGGGATAAAATGCCGTATAAAGCAACATCGTAGCAATATCCACGGAGATTTAGGAGGGGAAAGGCGGGAAAGGTGAACAAACGATTCGGGAGCCTGGTCACGTATCAAAAAGCAGAGTGGACGAATTTTGGGGTGCAGAGCGAAGAAAATGAACAAGGGTTAGTCTCGTGTCCGGATTAGCTTTCGGAGCGGAACGAATTAATACTATATCGCACGTTGGATAAAGCTGCGCATATTTCCACGTGCCAGCGGCAGTCGCGTGAGAAGCTTCGCGTATGGTCGTAGTTTTATAAATCCACCGTAAGAAATTAAAACAAAATTGCCTTACTTCTCCATGGCTCAAGTCTATTTATGTAACTTTTTTATAATTACATTAAATGTCGCGTGCACACGTAACTGGGATTTTCAGAAAATGTATCTGTAAGTTGTGAGAATAGCGAGTTTGACTCCTTCGAAATGAAAGTTTACAAAACGACACTTTTGCTTCCTTCACGTCAAATAAATATAGCTCTAGCACTGCTGCTTTTTGAGATTATGGGAAGATGTATAGTATGAATAATTAAAGGTGCCTATTCTCGTCGCAGATATCGATAAACCCAGTCAAACATTTCGGTCGAAGACGCGAATAGCGTAAGCTCGAAATGAACTGCTGTCCTACTCACCAATTTGACAAACCAAAGTGAGATTGTTTAAACTTATGACGATGTAACTGAATTTCTGCGGAGCTAAAAATAATCGACATCCATGTCCTGTATTCTCGAACGGAAGGGTATCCCGAATCATTTGAATTATATCAAAAAATAAGGTGCGCACAGAAAATGAGAGAGAGATAGAGATAGAGAGATAGATAGATAGATAAATAGATAGAGAAAAAGGAGGAGGAGAAAGAGAGAGAGAGAGAGAGAGAGAGAGAGAATCTTATAAAAATATTATCGAACGGATATACGCTATTTTGGTTCTTCGCATAACACAGAACGTTGGATATATCGGGAGATCCTCCAGGGTTCTCGGTTCCTGGCGAATCCTAAAGCGGTTGAGTTATCTTGAGTTTACGTACATACACCCCACCGCCGATGCCGCCGTCGCCGCCTCTTCGTGCTACCCCCAGAACTTATGGAAGCCATGCCAGAATTTGTGGAACAACCACTTTACTCCGAGAATCACTACGTCGCTGTAGTATCGGGTAGCGTTTGCAATTTATCGCAATATCCGGAAGTTTTCGCAAAAATTTTCTGCTGCTCGTTGCATCATCTTCCGCATGCACGCACGCGCGCTCGTATCAATTTACCATAATTTAATTACGATAAAACGCTTAACTACGCGCGCAATTAGT